GCTACTTAACCATTTCTTATACTTAAAGGTGGATTGGAGAATTAATCCTTTCCGAGAATAAATTATATGAATGATCTCTTGGCTCTGCCGACTGCTAATCTCTCTCTTTCTGACCTTTCCCCTAAAAAATTCTTTAGGCACAGTATCTCATGAGTTACAATATCCTGTTCCTTCTACATTTGTACCTGATCATTTGAATATAGGAGATTCAGTTTATTATTTTAGAGGGGGTTAAGTCTGTCAATACTATGTCTCATACAATCACAAGAGAATATTTTAATCTAGATGCAATACTTGTGTTTAGATAATTAGTTTGAAATTTTTCATCTTTTGAGAGTTGTATAGATACCTTGACCAACATTCTGCATGACCCATCAGGACCTTGAAAAATTCCTTTCTAGTGATGGATGAATTAGTCCTAAATTACTTGAATTAGCGCCAGTATGGGACCATGGTTCTCAGGCCTGATTTCCTGTCAAAACTGGCAGTGGACCTTCAGAAAGAGAAAAATAAAATGTACGATTCTCAAGGCCCTCTTCCCCTCAGTCCCAGTCAGAATTGCCAGAGCTCACCCAGCCCTGCATATATTTTAAAGTCTCCAATAGGCTTTTTGTTTTACCAGTCAGGTTTGAGAACTACTGAGATACATAATCTCAGGGAACACCAAATAAAGAAGAAAAGTGTAGGTTTTCTGAAACAAAAAAGCACTATCTTAATGCTTTCTAACCTTTTTCATGTATGACACTCATAGAAAGGGACAATAGATGCACAGCCTTGAAAGAAACTGGAAGAGGTACTGTCAGGAGCATGTTAGGCCCACTGGGGACTGAGGTGGTCCCTGCCCACACACCTGTAACCCATTCTCAGCCAATAGGTATCGGTTGGGAAGTTCTGCTCAAGATCCTAGCAAATGTGACACAGTTACATATACCCATATTGAAAACGTTTTTTGGTGATGTGTTTTTAAATCAAGATATTTCTTACACTTACATCAAAGGATGCTTTATATTCATATCACCAAACAGACCTCAAAGCTGAGAAAGAGGCTTGAGTCAAGTATCATACTTTCTAGGTAGCTTTTCTAAACACTTGGACTTACAAATTTAGGTAAAAATGTGTTTTTGTGGTTAACAGAAATACATTGGCATAACTAAGTGTATTTTCAAGATATTTCCACTTATGTTTTCTTATTTATTGCTGAAGTTAATTACGAAAAGTGTAATGCCTGAATCGTATGTTCTCATTTTTATTATTATAAAATAATGGGCCTTTTATAATTTAGCAATTAACTGAAACCTAAACCTATATTACCTGTTACTTCAAAGAAGGAATTAAAGCAGGAAGCAAAACATTTAACTCGATTTCAAGTAAATTATTAAACATCCTGCACATACTAATTAGTCTTTCTCTTGCTCAGATTACTTAAAACAAAATATGTCGGCTGTTAACACCATTATAATGCTGTCTAGGATTCTTGAACTCAAACCAGAGAAGATTTGTTGGATATTCTTTTTTTTTTTTTAACTTGGGCTTGTTCTTTCAAGGTATTTATGGAGGACTATATGTTGTATTTTTTAGGTTATACTATACTGCTTTAATTCAAAAACTATTATAAAGTTTACACAGCAAAAGCCAGTTAAAATATGCCCTTTCAGTGTAAGTTATAGAAACAAGTTAGTTTCTAAATATTAAGATATAGAATATTTCAGAGGTAATTCAGTGAAAGGAACCACTGGCCTATTTCTAGGCTATATTTGAAGACAAAGCAGATCTAGTATTTCCAGTTCCGTAAATCTGGAAAGAGTGAAGGTTCAGTCACGTCATTGAAATTGTTTAACAGGGACCAAACTCCCATTGTTCGGGATTCTGATTATTGTATTTAGTTGGCTTCAACTGTTGTGTGCATCGAGAGAACCACCACATACAGGACCACTCACCTGCGCAGATCATTCTTACAATCCGCTACCCAGACACCATAAGGGCCCTTAGTTGAGTGAGTGTGATGCCCGAGGGAATTCTGAAATGGTCCCACAGCTTCTTCCATTCTGTAGATAGTCTTATCCCATCTCTTCTCAACTTGAATAAAATGGGATTCCAAGGAGTATGTGAGCTGAGGAACACTCACTATTAATCAAATTACATTTGACTGACTTTAACACCTTGACAACATCATAGTTTCTGCTTCCAGAGGGAATCTTTAGACCAGCGTGTCACTTTGATGTTTTAATGATACTGTCTACATCTAAGATGCTCAAGATGCACATTAGAATTATCTGGGTGACTGTATTCCCTTCAAGGTCCTCAAGTGATTCTGATATGGGTTAAGAACCATTGGTCTAAATAAACTTGAACTTTGCTTTCTGAAGTAGCCAGTAATAAAAAGGAAAAAAGGTATTACAAGATAGTCATATGTATTTACAAAAGTATTGGGTAGCTTATTTTTTTAATTAGTTAACATTTCTTCCAATAAATTTCTAATGTGGGTATAGATTCATAAGAGATTAATGGTTCTGAGAATAGTTCTCTAGATTATAGCCTCACTGCACTAGAGGACTCCAATAGGTTTCTTCTACCATAACTCCCAGCCTTGAACATGACTTGAACACATGGTACTAAAATTTTTCTTAGCCTCTTTATGTCACCAAGGGGTATTTGTCAGAGGATGAATTTATTTTGTGTTTATATATTTTTATCCTTGATGCTTCAATAAGTTTTCTTTATTTTTATTATAAAAGCAATATCTACTCATTAGAGAAAATTTGGGAAATGTAGAGAATTATAGAGGAAGAAAAAAAATAATCCACATTACCACAGTTGAAAATAGTTTCTGCTAGCATTTTCATTCCTTTGTTACACTAAATTGTCAGCTTGCAGAGATGCCTTCTAATTTTAATATTCTAGGGTTTTGATATGTATGTTTGAAATTTTTCGCAATGAAAGTAGCCAATTCCAGAAGTGATCTCTGAGACACTCTGCGGTTTGTATACTTTAAATGTTATTTTTGCTTTTAGTTTTTTCTGTTCCTACGCCAGTTATTTCTTGCAAAGATCCCTTCTCAGTGACTTAATATTTAATGATCTTTGATGTATAAATTAAACAGGCATATTTACCCTCTCAAAGTATTCCACTAAATAAATCAGGCTTGATTATCCTTCTGCAGAAACCATATTGTCCCTTCTCCCTTTTTAAATACGTTTTTAAGTAAATTCCTCAGGCCTAGAATGTGAACATTAATGGTTAATTTGTACCATATTGAAGCTCCACTTAAAGCTATGAGCATATTGACAGAAGTAGCCATTTAACACAGTGGCCCATTAGTAGTGTCAGATTTCCAATAGGTAGTTTCATTTTGACCTTGGGCATCCTTTACATTTGGATACTATTTGATCTTCCATTATTTCTTAAACATTTGTGCTTCTAATCTCCACCCCGCTACCCAATAATTTTTGAATCGGGTACTATTCTATCTAATTTCCATGACAAGCTATTGAAAAATAGTGAGTATAGATAAGATTGCTTTGAAAATTAAATAATACCAAAAATGAATAGAGATTTAAGCTGCTTTGTATTATACAAAATATGTATCGTGCAGTCAAATGGTTAAGCCAAAACAAAAAGCAGTTCTACTTTATTCCAAGATAAACATTTGATTAAGATAAAATAACTAACACTCCATTAAAACATAGAGGGTACTTTAAAATATAAAGAGGTCTTAAATTTCTGTAATAAAGGTTTCCTGATAAAGAAAAATTTATATCTGTAGTTGTATATTTACAAGTTATCCAATACTGTAAAAAATTTATTCTGTACTTCATATCAACAGATGTTTGCCGCGTGTATAAAATGTCACTTATAAATACCTTGGTCCCTTGATGGATAACATTTTGATAAACTGATGTGTAGATTTGAGTTTGATGTGTAGAAGTTCGAGTTTAATATGTGGATGTGTAGATTTAAAAATAAGTTATTTAGCTCGAAAAAAAATTTTGAAAGTACATTAAACCAGTAACAAGAAGTTTCTAATTTGACAACCAAAACAGGCTTTATTGACATGAAATATTGGTAACTAGGCTGAAAATCAAATTGTGTAGATACACAGTTTTCAAGATACATTTTTTACTTGCATTATGTGTTTATTACGTAATCTTAAAATTAGTAAACTTTTGTTGTAGATTTAGCTAAATCAGTAAAGTAGCATTTGTTAACCATGATAATAATTGTTTTCTATAACACAGAGATGAAAATCATGTAAACTAAATGTCACAAATTAAATTATAAACAGACTTATCTGCTTACAAATGGTATAAACTCTTTTGGCCTTTTATTCTATATAGCATGATGATTGTCTTCTGAATGTTTTAACTCTTGAGTCCAGAGCCTGCTAAAACAAATATTTTTCTAGAGGCAGTAATTAAGTACAACATAGCTGGAAATGTGAAACGTGGTTTCAGCCTTTTTAAGAGCTAGGGAGATACACTGAGTCTTTGCTAAGTAAATTTTCTCTTGCATATCCTTGAAATAATTCTACATATGGTGTTATACTGTGAGAAAATCCAAAATATAGTATATATAACTGTCTCTCAAGATTAATTTTAATTAAAATGTGTGATTTTATAAGTGACAAGACATATTATAAAATTTTAATATTTGTAGAGAACTGAATTTTCTGATTAATCCATAAAGAACTAAATATCATTTTAAGCTTTTTCACTGATTAAGTAATCAATTAAATGATGCCGTGTTTCTCCTTTTATAAAGTAAAACCTGCCTGCAGCAATTTTGCAATTAGCTTTTTTTATAACCTTGAAAGTATTTTACAGCATGTAATATTTGTTTGAAATGGTTTATGTAAGTTAGATCTGTACAACTTCGGGGTAAAATGTGAACAACTGCACTGTTAGGAAGATATTAAAGTAGAGGCTATATTTACAGTGTCGTCTTTCAAATCTAGCTATGCTGTAAACTGATGTTTGCTGTATGCTCCTCCTGATTTGAAATAGATGAAAGAAAATGAACCTATTATCAACATGGTTCACACAATGATTGAGAACTCGGCGCTAAGACCCCAACTGTACCAGCAAGTAAGGTCTTGGACAGTGAATGATACTGCTTTATCATCTGCAAAATCCCTCAGTGACAGTTTTGGTTTACCCTCAGAGTTACTCATAACATTAGTGTTTTTCTTACTTCATTTTTTTGTTTATTTCTATTTGGAAAAACGCAAATTCATCCATGCTTTTCAGGATGCTGCAGTATTCTTAGCATGGCTTTGCTGAACATTTTGCTGTTGAATATTAAGTGTGCCATTTTCCCGAAGTTTTTGTGCAGAGTATTTGATTGATATGTACTTGGAGGTCTGCAGTAACATTTTCAAAGTTTTACTAGATTACCATTAATTTTTATTAACTCTAAAAGCATAAAGGTTTTTAAGGGAAATTAAAAAGAAATTTTTTTCCCTTTTAATGGCAACCCCCCCCCCCCTCAATGTATTAGGAATAGATTACATTTGTATGGGAGTTCTTTAAACCTAGTTTGTGTATTGTGGTGTGGTAAAACCTAAAGATGGCCGTTTATTAACATACTGGGAGTTCTCCCTGTGTTCTTATCTTTCTTACGCAGTTATCAAGATAGTCCTATCTTACCCCATTCTTTTCCCTAATTCAAAATATGTACCATGGAGTTAGCTGGCTTTATTTTAGGACGTTGGTAATCTGCAGATCTGCAAAAGAAGTCATTTTATACATTCCTATCCAATTTTTTTGTATTTCATGGTCTAAATGTTCTTAGCTGTGTGTTTTGCAACATCAGCTTCTTCCACTTCAACACTCTCAAATTACTGTGGCCTATGACCTGTTACAATTATTTAATGAAGAAGAAAATTAACTAACATGAAAAATGAATATATGGTTTGATTAAAATCTGTAAAAAGCCTGGTTTGTTTAAAAAAAAAAAAAAAAAAGCACCTGAAGCTTACACTGGCTTTAAATAAGGCCTCCGTTTGCTTTAGTCTCCTGGGAATCTGCATCATGGCCTTTAACTGGGAGATTACAATAGTGGGTGGAAGGGGGGGGGTGACTCATTTCTGAACAGTTTTCAAAACATTTAAAATACATTGTATTATTGAGTATAGTTTTTCCTTTGACATAGATTAAGTATTAAATATTTAAAGTTAAACAGCTTTGCTCTGCCAAAGAAAATAGAACCTTTTCATTCTTAAAGTCACCATATTATAGAACCTTGATAGTAGTACTCCATTCCAAAATACCACACTGAGAACCGTAGCACTTAAATTGGTACTGATGGTGCCTGAAGCCACCAGTTCATCGTTGTATATAATGCTAAATTGACATGGGAGTGCGAGCCTGGATGTTCTGTTTGGTTTTGTTTTTTTCTTTTGTTTTTTTATATTGATCACTAATCAGGGTTGATGATGCAGACATATTGCTGATTGAAATTACTGCCGTACTAAGAGTTCTAATTGGAGTTTTTCAAAAGTGTGAAGATTTCTGAGACTGGTTTTATACTGCATCACTGACCTTGAATACTAAAAGAGCATTACATTTACGTAAATGTATTTCCTCATAGTAATACTTGGAAGAAAAAACTGAAATTGTACAGAACAGGAAGATCTGAGTGTCTGATATCACCAGCCATGCACAGGCATGAGGTGGGCTGCCAATTGCTAGGTGATCAGTGTTGACTCAGTGCTTCAAGTCTAGGGAGTCTTCAGGGGATCCTTTTTTTAAATCAGCTACTGGCAAAATACTTAAGCATTGTAGGTCATCATTGATAGATAAAAGTGACAGACACATTTCTTAAACTCTGTTACAAATTTGCATAAATTGAAATTAGATCCTATTTCTTCTCCAGGTTTCCCTTACTGTGTTATTATCCAAAGAAAATCTTAATGGAAGTTTATATTGTACACTGTTAGGGTTTTTTTATTCTTCTGACACTGTTTACAATACTGTGTTAATAGGCTCCTGAAATTTAGCTGAAAATATAGTGACAATAGAGTGCCTTTCAGGTTTTCTCTCAGGGGGACCTTTATGTTTGCATTTCTTAGAAAAAAGGGAGGACACCTGAGAAATTACCTAGGCTGTAATATCGTAAAATTAGTCCAATAATAGGATGTAAAATTGAATCAAAACAAATGCTAAATAAGTGAGCATCAAGTTGAAAAATTCCTCTGTATTTATTAATCATCCTACCATCTTTCACAATTACATTTTTGTACCAGAGGTTTTATAACATAATTAATAACAGTAAAATTAATCACCTGATAAATGTTTTAAAAGATACAGACTAAATTAGCAAATACCTACAGCCCTATGAGCATTTTTGAGTCCTCCTAGGATATGATGTCAAATATTCTCAATTATTTCCCCAAAAATCCTCCTTGGGATTTGTGTATATATGTATATATGTGTGTATATGTGTATATACATATATTTCACATACTTAAAAGGAATACTATGGAAAGTTGAATTTTAATTAACAAAAGTAATTTTGTTTTAATTTAATGCCAAGCCAATTTTTTAAAAAGCTTATTCGATATCTTGTGAAAAAGTTGACTTTCTAAATAAAATATAGCACATATCCTTATATAGTCAGTAAAGTCTGCATATTACACTTCTCTAATTAATGCTTGAGCCCTACTCAAGCTCATATAATTACTACATAGTCATTTTCATTTGCTTTTCTAGTGTTGCTGAGATACTTCAAACCTAGAACTTTTTTTGCTAAAGATGAATATGAAAAAATGATAAAGTGTTGCCATGAAACGTTATTTGATGCAGAACTTGAATAAATCGGAATATTTATGAAAATACATTTTTCTAATTGGTAGGATTTTTATATTGAGGATTAGCTAGCAAACTTCTTCAATTCTAAGTGGAAATTGTTTTTTTAATAACTTATATCCATTTTTTTTTTCTTAAGAAAAGTCCCAGTAATTATTCTCAGTAATGGAAAATAGACCATGCTTAAAAGTTAATTATTTAAAGAATAATCTTATTTTCTTATGCTTTTCTTCTGACAGGTACAAGCAATGTATAGTCAAAGGTTGATTATTTTAAGATTTTTGTTAGTTGGTATCTAACAATGAATATCTTTATTGAATAACTCGATAAAAGGTTTCAATAAATTTTACAGTGGTTCTAAAAATATGGGTAAAACAAAACTTTAATTTATCTGTATAATATAGTTATATGTCTATAAAGATATATGGCTCTAAAATTATAGCTACACAGTATATATTTTTATAATATGCCAACTAATATGAAAGTGAATATGAAGTAAGATTCCCTAAGTAGTATTAGATTTATCGGAATGATCACTTCATAAGGTATATAAATGTTTAGTCACTATCTTATATACCTATTGACATAATATTCTATGTCAACTATAATTGGAAAATTTAAAAGCATTATTTTAAAAAGTAAATGAAATTGAAATTAAAAAAAAAGACTCCCTAAATAAAAGTAGTATACCAATATCCTAAATACTTATTATGGATTACCTGGTTTCCATTTAAAATTTCCATTTAAAATTACTAGTCTTTTATCTATTGACCCTGGCTAGTAGGATACATTTCATATTTTAATCTGGATGTAGCAGTATTCACTAGTTACGTTCAAATTATACATTCCATGGTTTAGTAAAGCTGTTATGCATTTAACTTTAAATATTAAATAAGCAAAATATATTTGGACATTTAGTAGTTAAAGGTTTTATAACTTTATATCTTTAATTTCTTATATATGAGAAAATTTTTGTCATCTTACATTTTATCATGAATCTAAGCATTTTAAAACTTAATTTTCCATTACTTTTTTTTCAAGTAAGAGTATGTATTCTTTCCTTGGATCTAGGTGCTTTAATTTAGAATAATTGACACTTCTCAGGACATTCAGTGATATTTGATTTACAATAATTCACAAGTATTTTGACTTGTCATTAAATTCATTTTTCATGTGATGTTTATTTCTATGAAAGTTTTGTGGTTAATAATAACTGTGCAAATCCTTAAATAGTCACAGGTTCATTTGCATGAGATACGTGAAAGTCATGTCTTGAAATGAAACACTCAAATCCAGGATTTATTAATGTATGTTTGGAATGCTTACATTTTTAACCTCCTGATTCTCACATTTCTAGATCCATTCAAAATTATCTGCTGTTTATATTATGCCTCCTTCTAAAGATGTAATTGTTGAGCAGTTTTTTAAGGAGAGGGCATATATAGTTGTAATTTATACATTCTTATACATTTGTGTGTGTATATATGAAATTTAATTTTCCAATCTACAATGTAGTTGGCATACATTACTCCTGTTCCCACTTTGAGAAAAAGTGTGCCATTTAGTAAACATGCAGTGAGCCCCAATTAAATTTTGCCTGCTATGTCTTTGTTACTGTCTAGCAGTCAATATATTAAGTCAAAAGACAAGAGAGATAGTGAAAGATACTGCCTTGCAGAGGCGGTGATGTGATCTGTGGTATAACTGACTGGAATGGCTATTGAAATCTTGGTAAGCACAATCAGAAATCAGGATTTGTTTGACCAAAAGAAGCTGAATATACAATGTTTAAATACACTGAATAATTATTCCCTTTATACTAAAACAAATGGTGTCAACGGACACATAAAAGCTTTTATGAGATTTGACTATCCAGTTTATAACATAGGCTTTCAGTTTTATGAGGTTTTGAATGATTTTCCTCTTTTTCAATTAAACCCATCCTTTTCCTCCATTATCTTTTAGTTCTTAAGACAGAAGAACAAGATAAGTCTATATTGTGTATGTGTGTTTATATATTATGTATCTGTATACAATATGTTATAGATTTTGTTAGTGAAACTGTACTGAGATGTGTTGGCATTTCAGTGTACACATGCGCAGTTGTGTGATGATGTGTATACTGTGAAGGGTGGTTTTGACTGTTGAAATATGCCTGATTTGAATATTTCATTCAATACAGTTGCTATAATTGTATTTGTCAATCTTTCATTAAAATAATGTGTGTCTTACAAATGGAAAAATGTAAGGTGCTGTATAATTTTGTTTGACCAGCTTATTATTTTGTTTGACCAGCTTAAGTTAACATCATTCTTATGTATCTTGCCTATTGTATCCCTGTTAAATATCTTTCTACTTTTGTAATGATCTGTGTTTGAATTAAACTTCTAAAAGCATAAGAACCATAAAAATCCCATTTTTGTTGTTGTTATATAAATCTAAACTATTAACTATAGGCTAAATATATATTTTTTCAAATACTAATTTTAAAGTTGCTATGTGACCTTTTTCCTTATAGCTGTCACAAGATGAATGCAGAGGCACACTATACAAATACAGACCTGAAGAAGTAGATATTGATGTAAGTATTAGTATGTTGTATATTGTCAGTCAGTGCTCTGTCATATTCTCTGCCAAACATTGTAAATAATAAGCGTGACAAAAAAAATTCTTTTTCCTCCCTCACCCTCCAAAATGACATCAAATAAATTAGCATGTTCTTTTGCACTTAGATTCAATTAAATGCTCGCTCCCCAGCCTATTCTCTGCCCACCCTCACCTCCTTAAGTCAGTAGTTGAATATACTAAGGATCGCTTAAATGAAGATAAAGGACTATTTCATGAAAAATTATGTAGGACTGGAAACAAAATAAAATTGTCCATGTCTCTTAGAAAAAATATCAGCCTCTAGAAATTCAATCAGTGCTTCCTTTTTTAACTAAATTTGTTTTTTTTTAATTATATTTCATTGCTGACTTGCCATGCATTCTTACTTATTTGTATCTCACCCTTCCCTTGTTTCCCTGGTTTTATTACGTTGAGTTGTACCTCTTTCTCATTTCGATATTCAGTGGTCCCCCCTTATCTGTGGTTTCGCTTTCTGCAGTTTTAGTTACTTGTGGTCAAACAGGGTCTGAAAATGTTAAATGGAAAATTCCATATTGGGGGGGCGGGGACTGGGGCTGTGGATTGGGGCAGGGGTGTTGTCACTTTGAGGGGTAAAAAGTGTAACTATTGCACTGTGTTGTACACCTGAAACTAATTTTTTTAAAAAGTTAAAAGGCAATAAGCAATGAAAAAAGTATTTTAATCTTTATAAAAATAATATTCAAAATGCATAAAGAAAAGGAAAAAGAAAATTTGGAGAGCAAAATCAGGAGCAGTTATTTAAATGACAAGTTCACAAAGAATGCAAATGAAAAATAAAAATGTAAAATGTTTGATTTTACTTTTAATACAAAAATGAAAATTAAGATATATGATCATTGATTATGTTCCATTGTAAAGCATGATGATCTAATGGGTGAGAACTTAAGGAAATAAACATAATTTATTTGGTGACTGTGGAAAATAATAAAATACTTTTTGTGAACATTAAAAAAAAAAAACAAAGAAAATTCCAAAAATAAACATTTCATAAGTTTTAAATTGCATGCTGTTCTGAATATCATGATGAAATCTCATGCCATCCTGTTCCATCCCACCCAAAATGTGAATCACACTGGTCACTCCCCACCCGTTGGTCGTCAGTCAGTAGCCATCTTGGTTATCAAATTGTCTGGGTATCGCAGTGTTTGTGTTTAAACAACCATTATTTTACTTAATAATGGCCCCAAAGTACAAGAGTAGTGATGTGGGTAATTCATATATACCAAAGAGAAGATGTAAAGTATTATATGTATGTATAGGAAAAAACATGGTACATGTAGTTTGGTACTATCTGCGATTTCAGGCATCCATTGGGGGTCTAGGAGCTTATACCCCACCAATAAGGGGGGGCTCCTGTATTCCATTTGATGTAGCTTAAGTTTTGTTGTCTAACAAAAATAAGGTAGTTACTTCGATAGATAAATGGCAAAGAAAGTGAAATCTCACATTTCTTGCTTATTTGTCATTATGCAGTAAAGTTTGAGACATAGTAACACTTGTCCAAGGTTTTTATTTTCAGACATGTGGAGAACTGGTGTATTGTAGTATTGAAATTTTATTAGCGTACTCTTATATTTTCATAACTTAAAAATTGGAATAGTACCAAGAATTTAAAACATTAAAATATTGAAAGCGATTTTTCTCCACTAGCAATATTTTTATTTATATTATTACAATTAGAAGCAATCTTTTGTTTATATTCTTTTCTAAGAACATAAGAGCATAATTTACAAATGTAAAAACCAAAATCCAGGTGGTGTTTTAATTCAGTACTGCATATATCACTTAACGTATCCAGAAGTTTGTAGGGAAAAAATCTGAACCACGTTGAAATGGTTTGTTAAAAGCATATGAGACTACTAAGAATATTTTGATTTATGTAGGTTAAATAGTATGGTTGAAATGCTTTTTCACTTTATGACAATGCATGTTTTTTAAACATTCTATCTTTAAAAGATATATTTAAACTTTTACTTATTGAAATAAAGATTGACCTAATTAGGTATTCCATAGCTGTTTTAAATGTGTTTTCCTGTTGTAACCACCTCCAGTTACAACAGTGATAATTACCTACCTCCAGTTACAGGAAAAATAAAAAATTGCTAACAAAAAACACCTTCTCTTATAACCTAGGCCAAGTTAAGCCGTCTCTGTGAGCAAGATAAAGTGGTGCATGCTCTGGAAGAGAAGCTCCAGCAACTCCACAAGGAGAAAGTAGGACGATTATATTTATTATCTACAATTGATGTTACTGTATATGATTATTATCAGGACAATGATAACTAAAGTAAAAAAAAATTAATGCAACAATGCAGAACATTAAATGTAATTATTTTTATTATAATAGTACACGCTTGAACAAGCTTTGCTATCGGCCAGCCAAGAAATAGAAATGAATGCAGAGAACCCAGCAGCCATTCAGAATGTGGTGTTGCAGAGGGACGACTTGCAAAACGGACTGCTTAGTACATGTCGGGAACTGTCTCGAGCCACTGCTGTAAGTAGTCGATTTTCTTTTATAGTGAGGGCCACTAAAATATTACGCAGTTCTTTTTTTTTTTTATCTTTTCTGTTTTCTATTTATAGTAGTAATTAATTGGACTGTCTTTGGGATTGTTCTCTAGTATAACAAGAAATTGATTTGTTATTCATAATATAAAAAATAAAGGGTGGTCTTTATTTCTCTGATTAATAGACATTTTGTTATGTTAAATAGTTGTTTTATAGGAGAGGTAAATACTCCTGTTTATGTATTAATGTAAATGAAAAATTCTTAGATATGTTAAAATTTATGCATTAAGAAAATAAATATTTTGTGGATTTGGGGAGAGTTAGAATAATTTGGGGAAGGTGGTAATTAGATTCACCCTAACCAACCATTTCAATACAAGGTACCTGTGAAATGCTTTTAAGAAGCCATCAACATTGCCATTTCATAGCTGCAGTGTGATCTAAGTTTAGATGATAGGTTTGAGTAAGAAATGTAATTAGCAGAACCTTTTAACCCATAGTCATGTCACTTCATAAAGAGTCTGTTGGGATTACCAAATCTAAAAGTCTTACTTAGAGTTTATAAATCAAGTGTTTTATGAGTTTAAAGAGTCTGCTTTAGATCCTCTGATGCAGTCAGTCATCTCTAAACATAGTAAGAGCACCTGCCCAAGCAGCCCTTTGAAAGAGAAATCCTTGCAAAAGCCACCTGTTAAAGAAAGCTGCTAACACAAAAAACCCTTGTCTGTACCTTCAATGGGGTCTTTAGGGAACAGCTACCTTTTAAGGTTCACAGACATTACAGCTTAACTAAGAGAAGTATTTCCAAGCTGGAAAGATACCAGAATCTCAACATGGCTTCCATTCTAAACACTAAAATAACATTCCAATCCTGAGCGATTTTTAAAGTAATATATTATGCCATGGTTTTAAATACATCAAGACTTAGATTTTGTGATTCTTAACTACCATATGTTTAACATACCTTTTCCCAGTTTTAAAATACTGTTATTTAAATTCTCTCATTTAGTATCTTAATTACACTGTAAAGTTTATAGATTTTTCAAAGAATTTAATATCCTTTCCGTTGTGGTCTCCTGGAAATCACACCATATCTCATTCATCCTTGTAGCTCTAGCATCTAGCACTATGGGATGTGCATTAAAAATTCGATGAATGATTGAATTGAGTGACTTACCCAATGTTACAGAGCTAATAAATGCTATGTCTAGAACACAAATCCAGATCTTCTAACCGTAGTAGTGTAGACTTAGATCTACACAGATTTTTATAATGTAGTCACAAAGAAAAATGTACGCATCTGAAATTTTGCCTACAAAGAAGTAGTCAGTTAATCAGGGATGGGTAGTATTTAGATAGGAAGAAAAGTGGTCCATACAGGACAAAACAACTTGAAACACAGCACTGAAATGAGAATGCAGGAGGCATGTCTGGAGCAGCAAGAATTAGGACTGACTGACTGGAATTAGGGGGTCAGGAATATGAGATTAAAAAGGGAAAATAGAGTTAAGCTGTCAATGACAACCTAATGAAAAGCTCGAGGGCCGGCCGAGTGGCTCAGTTGGTTAAGAGCTCGCTCAAGAGTTTGAGCTCTAAGCAACTGCGGTTCAAGTCCCGGCCTGAGCTGAGCTGCCGCTGAGCTGCCAACACGTAGCAGGATGGCTCAGCTAAAAAAAATAAATAAATAAGAAGAAGAAAAAAAAAGAAAGAAAAGCTCGGTAGCCCTGTGACAAGCTGAAGCAAATCAAAATTTAGTTGGAAACTATTTTCATGATTGGTGTCTGCTTTAGAAAATTTTAGGGATGTATAGTGTTCATTTTGTTTAGTAACTTAAATCTCATTGGTAGGCTTAGAATTTGCTCCATTCCAAGGTAACTCCAGCCTTGATGGAAGTTTATTAAAAGCATTTTAATAGAAATCAATCATGTTTGAGTATCCTATTTTCTGGTTGTTATCCTATATAATAATTTTCCTAGGGTTTTTTTTTTTTCCTTGCCTTTGGCATTATTCAGTGATCATTACAAACTCCTCAATATGTTCTTCTAAGACATGTCTTACTGCATAGAATACAAATTATGTTATTTGTGCCTTTTTGTAAATTTACTCATATTTGCAGCTTAAGGCTACAAATGATGCATATAACATTATACTGGGCTTATGGTGGGCGCTTAGTTGATGTTGATTAGATTTAAATTTGAAATAACATTTATGCCAGCAGAATCTCAAAGGAGTTCTCTAATTCTTTCACAGTTGATTCAGGGCATTGTTTCAAATGCAAGTTGTTAGGTATAAAAGATACAATAACATCAAAAGCATAACATTAAGGCATCCATAGATCAAAGCTTTGATTTCAGAGAATACTTCTCACCTGGTTGGGCACTAAGGTGCATAAAATTAGGATTATCATAAGGTAAACATGTAAAGCATGTTTTAGGTTTCATTTAATTCTTGAAACTACATCTTCTCTCCTGGCCTCTACTTTGTTTTATCGAAGCCTGATTAGTGAGAAAGATTGTTAAAACAGTCAGTTATATCTTGAAGTTTTTCAATGTGTCACTGTCTTAGTTTGGGTTGTCTTCCTAAAGCAGAGCCTGAGATGAGGAACTGGGTTCAGAAGGTTTGTTTGGGAGATGATTCCAGGAAGCAGCAGTAGGGAGTGTGGAGAATGAGTCAGGGAGGGAGAAACGCCAATAAATGTCTCACTACTGAGTTGGTTACCACTGTGGGCAACAGGAGTTTGATCCCACTGGGGACTCTGAGGAAATGAGCAGAATTCTAAAGAATTCCCCACTGAAAGGCCAGGAGGCTGGGGTATCTATCACTCATTGGTCACAGTTGTCCCAGGGTCCTTAATTCACCCACAGTTCCAAACTGCCTTAGCTCATCATGAGACACTGGCATGCGTGGAACTGTCCCACAGTTCCTTGCGATCAAGTGGGCAAAGGAGACGTGGTGTGGAGCTCTATAAACGTCTGCCACAGTCACCTCTTTTAGGGAGTTTGCATTAGGCCTTAGCTCTAAATGTAAAAGATACAGCCTTATGTTTTATCAGCTCCACGAGTGCTTCTTTTATTCTTCCAAACAACTCAAGAAGCCAGATGAAACAGACAGCATTCACGTACCACAGATGAGAATTTGTTACTCATCCAATAATGGCAGCAAAATATATTTGCATTTCTTGTTTTTCACATATGTTATCTGCAAAGAAAATGCTGTGGAAAATAAATACAATTATCATCTCTATTTTCATTTTTATTACCTTTGCTGCACAGATGAAGAAACTGAGGTTCGTGGAGGTTAAATGACTCGCCAAGGTGACATAACTAATAAGGAAGAGTCAACACCTAAATCTAGGGTTTCTGTACTTTGTACTCCACTTCACCATGTGGTCACGTGTACCTTCTGGAAGTTGGGATCAAATCTGTATTCTGTTACTCAAAAATCTGGAATGTCAGACATCAGAACAACTCATCCTGAATCATGCTCGTAGATGGCTTATGCATTTATCCACTGTAAAATAATACCAATATATGAAATACAGTAATAATGATGAATATTTCTGGAGCAGTTATCGGGTACAGGGTTCCATCATAAATGCTTTACATGCACTTAATCCACATAATAGCCTCTTGACATATTATTGCTATGTTAAAAAAATGGAAAACTGAGACACAGCGAGTGCCCAGAGTTATATAGTGAATATGTAGTATGGATAGATTCCATTAAACATACTTGTGTTCTAAACTGGATTCTGAGTAGGAGGGCCTTGAGGAAATCGAGAGTTTAGACTACAATGGATAAACTAGGTTTGGGATTGTAAACTTAAAGGGGCAGGAAAGCAGGACAAATGAACTATACTGGGGAGAAGCTTACACTAAATGTCTTCATATACTCATTCTCAATTTAATAAAGAGCTACTGAGAATCGTGGTTACACCAAAGTGTAATTTTCTTACAGTAGGTCTGTTGACATCCATGGATTGTCACAGAATATGCTTTGAAAGATTTTAAGATGGTTTTTAAATGCCCTGGTTATTTCATGATTACAAAATAACATCCCCCAAAAAAAGGACAGCCAAATGTGATATACCTCCTGATGCACTGCAGTAGAAAGTACCCAGTGACACTTAAGAAGTATTTTTACAAAAAAAAAAAAAATTTTCAAATCTGAATCTCAAAAAGCCTTCATATCTAACTATGAGTTTATAGGAAATATAAGCAACAGAAGAGTATGCTAAGCAATACCATAGGGATTCAATTAGCAAAATCTAGAATAGGAGAAATTGTACAGAACAAGTGACCCATTCTCTTCAACAAATAAGTAGCAAGGGAATAGGGAGATGGTATTATAATTAAACATTTTTAAAGGATTACTTATTTTAAAAAATAATAATTTTCTTATTTTTTCATGTTTGCTTCTTTTCTTTAGAAATGCATAGTGAAGTATTTATAGATAAAATGATAATGATGTTTGGTGTTTGCTTTAAAATAATCCCACAGGGATAGAATGTGGGTGCTATAGATGAAACCAGATTGGCCATATATTATGGTAATTGCTGAATTCAGGTAGCTGGCACTACTTTTGTGTATGTTTGGAAATTTCCATTGTGGATATCTGAGAAACATTAAAATAAAATTCACGAAAATGCTGACAAATATGTAGCACAACAATAAGTATTTTTTCTTTATCATTACCTGCACTCTAGCTTTTCTGTTTATATAATTACAAAAATTGATTATATTTAAATTTTGTAGAGGAAATAGTAATCACTTTCTTTGAGATGGAATATAGTTTTATTTTCGAGATAAGATTAGAGGAGAAACTAAAGATATGAATTAAAGATTATAAATAGCCAATACCTAGAAAGAAAGATAGGTGATGATAGATAGATAGATAGATAGATAGATAGATAGATAGCCAAAAAAGTAGAATTACTATCATTGTTATCATAAACTAGAAATTTAAAACATTGGTATCTCTATAACCATGGCCGATTTAATGATACTCAATTTATTGCAGTTTAAATTTAATCCTTCTTAACCTCCTTTTTGATTTAAAAAACCCAGTCCAAAAAAAAAAGAAATCCAGTACAGTCATTATTAGTTGGGTATGTCATGTGTTTAGTAAATAGTGATTTTTATTCAAGATGCAGTTAGATGACAAGGCAAGTATAAAATCACAAAAGATAAATTTTAACATTTTTTTGTGCCTAATTCCTGAAATATGTGGTAAGTTTTAAGTATTGCAATGCCTTAACTTTCCAAGATTTATAATGGACATTAATCTGTGATATTTAAAATTGAAGAGTTGTTTGAAACTTACCTTAATAAGCTAACAAATAATCGTACTACATCTATATACTATTGTCCCCTCTCCATTTTAAAACTGAAAATCTGTCCAATAATGAGCATTTCTTAGATAAAACTCAGAAACACTAATTGAGAGGCAAACCAGTAGTAAACCAGTCTCTATTAGCTCTAAGCATAATGTGGTAATAATTATTTACTTATTTAAGCGTATTGTGTAACTCTTCCCTGTGGGTAGATTTTGTTATAAATTGCCATTGATTCTGTACAAGAAAAGGAAAGTT